ATGTAAGAAGGTTTATTACATTAAACCTACTAAAGTGATCTTCTAATCAACTTAGGATTACAAAGACTTATTGTTTATTAGGAACTCAAAACCTATCTCGATTAGGCAAGCCTCAAACAGTGTTCAATAAGGATAATGAAGGCTTAAGGGTTCCTAGTTCTACAAGGATTGAAATGGATTAATCCTATAGCATGAAGGATATCTCTAAGTGTTTCTTGATGGGCAAGACACTTAGAGAGATGCATATAAATAGAAGGCTCCCTCCTAGATCCGAATAACACAACACAGCTAAACAGAAATTCACCCATCAGAGTTATAGCTATAAGGATCGGATTCTCAGGAGAAGAACTTCTATACCTTGCACTGCCAATCTGTTCCAGCATCATCCAGTTCTTGCGCCAGCACCATGTCAGACTCAGGTTAGTGTTAAACATGTTATGGCTTTAAGGAATTAACAAGAGCGTCTGCTTGAGTTGAAGCAAGGTTTTGGATAAAGGCTATTTTAGAGGCTTGGAATGATTTTCTTGTTTCTATGAAAAATGTAGCGAATGGTTTCTGGAAGAATGAAAGGATGGTTGTTGGGAGAATAAGATGATGGTTTCTGGGAAAAGAGAGATGGATGGATTCCATGGTTAAGCTTGAATGTTTCCAGCAGTAAAATTATAGCATGCTCTATTACTTTCGTTATGGTTCTCCTCTTCTGGGTAAGCCACTGCTTCCATTTATAGCCTGCTGAAGCTCAAGCAGGTAATGAATGAGCGGCTTAGGTTGGTGACACAGTAAACTGAGGTTTTAGTGCTGGGCAGTTGAGGATTGAGTTGTAGGTGATTTAAAATGAATTTTATGGGTCTAAACTCTATTTACTATATAAAATACGGGAGGCTTACGACAACATGCATCGGAAATAGTAATATAAATAATATTTTATTATAAATTTGTAAAGGTTGTAGAAAAAGATATATTTTTTTTAATCTCTTCCAGCCGAAACCAGCCCCATAAATGTTTATTGTTTATTGTTTTTTAAAGAAAGCTTGGCGTAATTATCACTTCAAGTGATGGATACTATCAAAAGAAGATAGTATAAACTTCTGACTATCTGCATGATTAAAGGTGATAAGAGAAATAATATAAAGCATACTTTTTTTTTATTTTTGAGATAAAAAAGCGTGGCCAAAACGGGTCAAGCATGCTAAGATCAATGATATTGGCAATGGCATGACATATGATGGAATAAAGCAATAAGGTATATTGTACACAGTGAAAGTAAGAGTGCTAAACAGCAGGCATAATTTATTAAACTATAATAACCCTCTAAAATGTCGTGCAAAATGTAGTACTTTTAGTGAAAAGAAATTGTGCAACATTCTTAAATGATAACAAGCCTGTGGAAATTTGTCAGGTGAGAGAGAACGCAAATATCTTATCTGGTAGTAAACTCGTTCGACAGTGGGAGGTTTGCCCCCTGCTTCTCTACTTCCTCCCCCCTTTGCAGTGATATTATAGTCTGCTCTATTGCTTTCGTTTTGGTTCTCCTCTTAGAGCATCTCCAGCGCAGGTCGGGCTAGGGGGGAAAGGCTGCCCGACGCAGCCCGAGTTCACTCCAGCGCAGGGCCCGTAGCCCAGTTTGGTGGCGGGTCCCACGAGCCCGAGGAAGCCCAAGGGCAAGTCTTGCCCGGGCTGAAGCCCGAGTTGGCTGACGTCAGCGCTGGCGTCACGCTGACGCCAACG